ATATGGATTAGAATTAGAATTAGAATTTTATTGACTCTTTGACCCCCTCTCGGGGTATGAGAGTACAAACAAACATAAAAGTATAAATAACAATGCATGACTTATGAATACAATTCACATACATTATACATAGATAATGACACAAATATAAAAACGATAATAGGTATATAGTGTATGAAAGTACAAACATGAACAATAAACCAACTAGTAAACACAAATTATATATACATGTACATGTACATTTACAATGAATGTAGATAGTGACAAACTGACAATAATAAAAGGATAACTATAATGCAGTCTATTTACAAGCTAAATAGTAAACAAAGTAGGCTGTTTCACTATCCTACCGCTACGAGTACGTGTAGGTTCAGCTCTAATTGTACTTCTTGAAATGCTTGAACTATCTTCTTTCTCTGTTTTTTGATTAAATTTCAACATAATAAGGCGGGTAAATCTCGCTAAATTCTTAAACTGAGAAGTGCTTCTAGTTAAAAAAAGTTCTTCCATGTGCATAGCACTTGGGAGCTTAGACTTACAACACTTTTTTGATAAATATAAACATCTCTCTCTTTGAAAAAAACGGACAAACAAAAATATAGTGAAATTCATCTCCTATATCAGTGGACAGGCAGAGTGTGCACTGCATATCACAATGTGGTAGACCTTAATAGGAAGAGCATTTTAGAACATAATATAAAATCGTGAAAATACATTCTACATTATTTTAAACATTAGCATACGTATCACCTAAACCGTCAAAGTGACAATTTCAAGTTATTATTCCCATTTATTATTCTACCAATCCATATCTCTAAACTGCTGGCGAACAGAGCAACAAGACCAAGCTCTGTAATTATTAGAATCTCTGTCCAGTAGTGCCGTGTTTGTGCCATCGAACGGGATCGACCAAATCAATTGATTCATAATACAAATATATATAGACCTATATATATATATATATATATAATATATTTTCCCGTAAAATGAGAGTAATTTTAATAGTTTCATACTTTTGATGAAATGTAATATTAATTGTTATTCTATAATTGTTTTAAATGGGGGCACGCTACATAAGTCCTATCTCGCACCATGGGGCAACGTGTCTGACACTGCCGTTTGTAGCAACTTCTCCCAAGATCAAGATTTAATCTTGATCTAAGGAGACACGAACGATTCTGCCATTAATTCTTTCGCAGGATATCTCAAGAATAAATAAAGCCATTATCATGAAACTTTCAATGATGAGTGATATTAGTATAACTTAGAATTGTATTACTTTTTAGTAACTCAAGATCATCGTGACGTCATCCAGGCGCTATTTTGTGGAAATCAACTTTTAATCATATCTTTATAACGAGTCATCAAAACTGAACCATATTAAAAACACATGAACTTCAAATCAAGGTTCGACATAACATCTCATCAAAATCCGCGCTTGTCTATATTTTAAAATGCTCAAAATCACTTTTTAATCAAAACAGAGTATATGTTCTAGGCCATTTAAAGCATTTCGAAAATAATGCACGCGCGTTTTTGCGTGTAACGCCATTACACAACATAGAAACGCTATTTTTTTTTCTTTCATGATATTTCATAACGGAATGAGCGTCCGTTTAAGATAAATGGCCGTGCGCACGAGCACATGTTATACATAGCATATATGGGCAAAACATGCTTACACAAAATCCATCATAGCTCTTTGGGATGCACCTAGACCCCACATTGTTCTTTTATTTTAATAGAGTATGAGTCGGAGATATGATTTCATGTCTCATTTGACCATTACAAATATCATGACGTCGTCATAATGGCCATAATTCCCGTCTTTCGCGAGCAATATCTACGTCGTTTTAGCTTCATTTACGCTGAACTTCGAGTATGTTGTAGCTGAGACAAAAAGCTCAAATGTACCCTTTATTTTGTCACAATTTTTTATTGGATCAGCCCACCTATACTTGTTCCAAACAAGTATTACAAATCTAGTCAGGTGGGCTGTATAACGTACAGACCACCTTATAATTTCGTTAGAATTGCCTTTATTTATTTATTTATTAAATATTTTTCTTATTTCTAACCACTTTTTTGTTAGCAAGATAACTTGAAAATGGCTCGATCAAATGCCTTGAAATTTGGCACACATATGTATAGGCATATGTACAAAGCACAATAACGTTTTCAACATTGACCTTCACTGATGACGTCATCTAGGCACCATTTTGTAAAAATCAACTCATGATCATATCTTCATAACCAAAAGCTATTTCTCATTCATATTTATCATGATCGAGGTCAATATCCGTCCGGTCAATTTCAGGTCAAATAACGCGCACGTGCGCGTACGTCCGCGCGTCAATGCGCGCGCAAAATTGTAAAATGCTCAAAATCGTCTCAAAATCATTTTGCGTACGTTTTAGGCCATTCTAAGCATTTTATAAAAAATCGCGCACGCGCGCATGCGCGCGCGTTTTCGCGCGTAAAACTATTACACAACATAGAATCGCCATTTTTTTTCTTTCATAATATTGCACATATTTTTACAAACAAATTGATACCATGTTTACTATTAATAACGGAATGATCCCCCGTTTAACATAAATTTCCGTGCGCGCGAGCTCTTGTAATACATATCATAAATGGGCAAAAAGATGCCTATACAAAATCCATTGTAGCTCTTTAGGATGCAAGGTGACCCGAATTTTTTTCTTCTTATTGTGATAGAATATGAATTGGAGATATGATTTCAAGTCTCATTTGACCCTTACTTTTCTCATGACGTCATCATAATGGCCTCCGAACTCATAATTTCAATTTGCATATTATGATGTCAGTATATTTTTCAAAAATTGATTGCATCTCTGTAAATATTGATCGATTTTCTTCCAAATTTCGATATGTTCTAGCTGAGACAATTCGTTACAAATGTAGTTAACAACATTTTTCATTTTTGACAAAGGAATCATGGCGTATTTTTGCGATTAAAGGAGGCATGTCAATTTTTCACTTTTTGCGTGTATTTTCTATGGGACATGACTTTTTCTCAAAACTGGATTCTACATTCCCGTCTTTCGCGAGCAATATCTCCGTCGTTTTAGCTTCGTTTAAGCTGAACTTTGAGTATGATGTAGCTGAGACAAAGAGCTATCTCAAATGTACCCTTCATTTTGTCTAAAATTTTAGTTGGACCAGCCCACCTATACTTGTTCCAAACAAGTATTACAAATCTAGTTTATTTTTCTTATTTCGACCCACTTTTTTGTTAGCACGATAACTTTGAAATGGTTTAATCAAATGCTTTGAAATTTGGCATACATATGTATAGGCATATAGAAAAATCAAAATAAGGTTTTCAACCTTGACCTTGACTGATGACGTCATCTAGGCGCCATTTTGTGAAAAATAACTCATGATCATATCTTCATAACCAAAATTCATTTCTCATTCATATTTATCATGATCAAGGTCAATATCCGTCCGGTCAATTTTCGGTCAAAAAACCCGCGCGTGCGCGTACGTCCACGCGTCAGTGCGCGCGCAAAATTTTATAATGCTCAAAATCGTCTCAAATTTTTTTTGCATACGTTTTAGGTCATTTTAAGCATTTTATAAAAAATCGCGCGTACGAGCATGCGCGCGCGTTTTCGCGCGTAACACCATTACACAACATAGAATCGCCATTTTTTTTTCTTTCATGATATTTCTCATATTTTTTCAAACAATTTGATACCATGTTTATCTCTTTATGATCATTAATAACAAGATGAGCGTCCATTCAAGATAAATGTCCGTACGCGCGAGCTTTTTTAATACATAGCATATATGGGCAAAAACAGGCCTATGCAAAATCCATTATAGCTCTTTGGAATGCACCGGGACCCTCAATTTTGTTTCATATTTAAATAGAGTATGAGTCGGCGATATGATTTCATGTCTCATTTGGCCATTAAGTGTATCGTGACATCATCATAATGGCCTTCGAACTAAAACTACGAATTTGTATATTATGACGTCAGCATATTTATGAAAAATTGATTGTATCTCTGTATATATTGATCGATTTTCTTCAAAATTTCGCTATGTTGTAGCTAAGATAATTCTCTACAAGTTTAATAAAAACCATTTTTCATTTTGATGACGTCATTAGAGTGAAAATTTCGATTAAAGGCCTCATGTAAAAAATGACATAATTTGCATGTTATGCCTATAGAAGGTGATTTTAATTCACGTTATGAATCTACATGATATTGTCTTTTAAGAATTTGTAAGCAGTATGTCGCTTATTTTTGCTCTATTTTGTCTCAAATGTTAGTTGACCAGCCCACCTATACTTGTTCCAAACAAGTATTATATGTCTAGTTTGTTCATATTATCACAATCATTATTCTTAGTATCAAATGTTTGTTATTGTTCATATTATCATATGTTTGTCTTTGTTCATATTATCATATGTTTATCATTGTTCATATTATCACATGTTTATCATTGTTATACTATTGCTATATTAATACTATGTTGGAAATATGTTTGTACTCAAATACCCCGAGAGGGGGTCGATAGAGTCAGTAAAAAATACAATCAATCTTACAAACTGGACTTACCTTTATTAATTAACTGCGCATGAAGAGGTGTGCGCCTCCTTTCAATATCAGCCCTATTTGGATCTGCTTCTCGGTCAGTGAGAAACTGTACCACATCCTGGTGACCATTGTATGATGCAACTTGGAGAGGTGTGCTGCCATCATTACCAGCCGTATTTAGATCTGCTCCTTGGCCAACGAGAAACTGTACAACGTCGAGGTGACCATTGAATGATGCCGCGTGGAAAGGTGTACGCCCTTCAAAACCAGCCCTATTTAGTTCTGCTCCTTGGCCAATGAGACCCTGTGCAACCTCGAGATGACCTTTGAGTGATGCCACTTCCAGAGGTGTGCTGCCATCTTTACCAGCCGTATTTAGATCTGCTCCTTGGCCAATTAGAAACTGTACAACATCCAGGTGACCATTGAATGATGCCGCTTGGAGAGGTGTGTGACCACCAATACCAGCCATATTTAGATCTGCTCCTTTGGCAATGAGAAACTGTACAACATCGAGCTGACCTTTGAGTGATGCTACTTCTAGAGGTGTGCTGCCATCTCGACCAACCTTATTTACATCTGCTCCTTGACCAATAACAAATTGTATAACATTGAGGTGACCCTTGAATGATGCCGCTTGGAGAGGTGTGCGCCCACCAATACCAGCACTATTTAGATCTGCTCCTCGGCCAATGAGAAATTGTACAACATCGAGATGACCTTTGAGTGATGCCGCTTCTAGAGGTGTGCTGCCATCGTTACCAGCCCTATTTAAATCTGCTTGTTGGCCAATGAGAAACTGTACAACATCGACGTGACCTTTCATTGATGCCACTTCTAGAGGTGTGCTGCCATCTCGACCAAGCTTATTCAGATCTGCTCCTTGGCCAATAAGAAACTGTACAACATCAAGGTGACCATTGAATGATGCCGCTTGGAGAGGTGTGCGCCCACCAATACCAGCTTTATTTAGATCTGCTCCTTGGCCAATGAGAAATTGTACAACATCGAGGTGACCTTTGAGTGAAGATGCTTCTAGAAGTGTGCTGCCATCATTAACAGACATATTTAGATCTGCTTTTTTGCCAATAAGAAACTGTACAACATCAAGGTGACCATTGAATGATGCCGCGACGAGTGGTGTCCTGCCATCTTTATCCGCCCATTTTAAATCTGCTCCTTGGTCAGTTAGAAACTGTACAACACCAAGGTGACCATTGAGTGATGCCGCGAAGAGAGGTGTCCTGCCATCTTTATCCGCCTTTTTTAAATCTGCTCCTTGGCCAATGAGAAACTGTACAACATCGAGGTGACCATTGAGTGATGCCACTTCTAGAGGTGTGCTGCCATCTCGACCAACTCTATTCAGATCTGCCCCTTGGCTAATGAGAAAACTGTACAACATCGAGATGACCATTGAATGATGCCCTATTGAGAGGTGTCAAGCCATCTTTATAAGCACTATTTAGATCTGCTCCTTGGCCAATGAGAAACTGTACAACATCGAGGTGACCATTGAATGATGCCCCATGGAGAGGTGTCAAGACATCTTTATCAACACTATTTAGATCTGATCCGTGGCCGATGAGAAACTGTACAACATCGAGGTGACCTTTGAGTGATGCCGCTTGGAGAGGTGTGCGCCCACCAATACCAGCCCAATTTATATCTGCTCCGTGGCTAATGAGAAACTGTACAACATCGAGGTGGCCTTCGAGTGATGCCGCTTGGAGAGGTGTGCGCCCACCAATACGAGCCCGATTTAGATCTGTTTTTTGCCAATGAGAAACTGTACAACATCAAGATGACCATTGAATGATGCCGCGAAGAGAGGTGTCCTGCCATCTTGATCCGCCTTTTTAAGATCTGCTCCTTGGCTAATGAGAAACTTTACAATATCGAGGTGACCATTGAATGATGCTGCATAGAGAGGTGTCAAGCCAAATTTATCCACACTATTTAGATCTGCTCCGTGGCCAATGAGAACCTGTACCTTCTCAAGGTGGCCATCGGATGCTGCTGCATGGAGAGGTGTCAACTCATCATTTTCAGCCCTAGAAAGATCTGCTCTTTGAATTTTGTCCCCATCCATGATAATAATTCAACTAATCTGAGTGTCTGCCTGTAATATCTAGATTATTATAACTGAAGTATAGGCTATTTGATGAGCCAACTAGAACAGCCGAAGACATACAGTTATGAAGAAGCTTTGTCTCAATTTGTTTTTTAATTGTCGCCCAAGATAAATAAATAGACTATATCGTGCCGCTTATTATCTGCTCCGAGTATAACGGTTGACAATGGTGTGATGCGCCTACAGACTTTGTTTAGACCCCGTTATTATTCTTGCCCTGAAAGGTGATCACTTCTTCTCGTTATATATTCTATTATTTTTTTCTTTTCAGCTGCATCGGTACGTTCCATTTCCGAATAAACATGACGGTCTTCCAACACGTCCTCAATGTAGCCAAATCTCGAATGTGTATAGGCGGCCTCTAGGCCTACAGACATGGCAATGTTGTTATTCCGAAATAAAAAGACCCAGCGCGATCCCATATGATATGACGTTTAGTACAGGCTACAATAGACGCAGCTCTAATCACAGTCGCTGTATTATGATCCGAACGCACTCAACCGTAATCCAACTGTGAATTATGCTAGCTGTTTCCTCACAACCATATATTGTAGACAGGGGCGTAAATCCGTACCGAGGAGTGGGTGATGATCGGCGATAGCCATCACATACTAGCAAGAGCACACGCCCACACTAATTTACGCATGCGCGCGCGATCGCTCACGCACAAACACACAACACACACACACACACACGCACGCACACACACAGGCACAAACGAACAAACAACAAACACACACATACCCAAACACATGTACATAAATTTATACGTGCATACATACATGCACGCACATGCCAAATTTGACAATCATAAAGTAAAAGAATCGGACATATTTCGAAATACTGATAGCTGCAAACTGTAGTGTTTTATTATAATGAACTCCGAAACAAGTAGTAACATAAAGATTGTGTATTTGGTCAGGAAGATGCGAACTCTTTATTTTGAGTCCCATCACTTAGAAAATTATGTATAATGGTCAGTGGCGTCGCTAGATCTTTTTTAGTGGTGGTGTAGAGGCCAAAGATTACCGACAAAACGAGCCCCCAATTACCGACAAATTTAAATGTCCCAATATTTACAAATTTAACCCTATATACCCGGGGCCGAAGGCTAAATTGTTTTTCCTACGGGCTATCTATAGTACTTGCGTATGCGCAAATGGTCATTTTCCTCGACGACATATATATACGAATTATTTCGTCAACTTAGTCAGCATCGTAGCTATATTTGTAATGCAGGCGCGGTGCTCGGATCTCATTTTAGGGAGGGGCGGTAGTGAGCAGGCGAATCACTCAAAGAGCGTGCGAAGACGTTTCCTTAAATTATTAGAGAAAGTAGACGATTTGTTAAACCGTGCTCGACTCATAATCTTTGTCTGAATTCGGTTTACCCCTCACGCGCAAAGCGCGGAAGTTTTGACGCTTCATTAAATTATTAGAGAAAGCAGACGATTCGTTGTACCGTTTTCGACTCTTAATAAGCCCTATTTGTCTGAATTCAGTTTCCCCCTCTCGCGCGAAGCGCGTAAGCCTTGACGTTTCCTTAAATTGTTAGAGAAAGCAGACGATTCGATGTACCGTTTTCGACTCTTAATAAGTCCTATTTATCTTAATTCAGTTTCCCCCTCTTGCGCGAAGAGCGGAAGCCTTGACGTTTCCTTAAATTAATAGAGAAAGCAGACGATTGGGTGACTGTTTTCGACTCTTAATCCTTGTCTGAATTCAGTTTCCCCCTTCCCGCGCGAAGCGCGAAAAGCTTAGACGTTTGATTTAATTATTATCGAAAGAAGACGATTCGTTGCACCGTTTTCGACTCTTATTAAGCCCTATTTATCTGAATTCAAATTAATTCATTCATAGACCTACACAAACATCACATGCATTGCAGCCCTTAAATATCACCTCCTTGTCCCTAGAGTTTTAGGTGTGAACAAATGACAACCACACACACACACACTCCGGGGTCGGAGGGACCTTTTGCGCGTTCCTAAAATCTCCAGGAAAGCGGTATTTTTTCGCGCGACAAAATCCGGCCCGAGAATTGTAAAAAAAGGGGTGTATTTGACTTTTCACCTGGAGATTTCTTTAAAAAAGGGGTGGTTTTTTTTTCTCTCTCTTTTTGGACTCCTGAGAAATGTAAACAGGGGGTTATAAAATATCTTGAATATCATAGAAAATTGATCAAATCCCGGGATCAAATTCCTGAAATTCCTGCTAGCTTTGAATGCTCATTCAGGATTATTTCATTTTGAAAAGTAAAAACATTGGCCCCCAGTCCCCCTCGATCAACTAGAGCTCACCTGAAATTGGAGGAGGGGTGGTACATTTAGCAGTGTTCTGGATTTTTTTTTTTTTTTTTTTTTTTTTTTTTTTTGGGGGGGGGGGGGGGGGTCTCCAAGGGAGGAAAAGCAAGCGAAAAGCCGGCGAAAGGGGGATTCAGAAATGTTGGCAGTCCTGAGATAGGGGGTGGGGGGTGCTTTCAAAGGGGGAAACGAGCATACGCGTACCCTAAATAACACTGAGTGGGGGGAGGGGCTGGGGGAGCCGGGCATCTACTGTTAAAACAACAAATTATTCCATTCTGGACTATTTCTTCATTTCTGGACTGTAAAAAAATACAGAAAATGCTATGAAATCCTTGTTTATTTGATCTTTTATTAACCATCAAGTTACAAATCTCTGTTATTAATTGGTAGAAATAAAGGTAAATGTTCCTTTTTATTTCCTATTTGCAAGAACAAAATAAAAATTCATCTCAACCTCTCTACATGACCATGCATTCACTCTCTTTCCTTGTACCTCATCTTAAAACACAAAGCAATTAAAACAAACCAGAAAAATTGTATTCATACAGGGATGCATTTTATTTTTATTTTATTGTTTAAATCACCAATTGACAGGTAACATATTTACAAATGTCATATTCATTCCTTATCAAAATAATAATGAATAAAAAAGATAATTGACAGGTAACATATTTACAAATGTCATATTCATTCCTTATTAAAATAATAATGAATAAAAAAGATATTACCATTCTACAGGGCACTAAATGGTATAAGCGTTATACCAATCTACAGGGCACTAAATGGTATAAGCGTTATACCAACCTACAGGGCACTAAATGGTATAAGCGTTATACCAATCTACAGGGCACTAAATGGTATAAGCGTTATACCAATCTACAGGGCACTAAATGGTATAAGCGTTATACCAACCTACAGGGCACTAAATGGTATAAGCGTTATACCAATCTACAGGGCACTAAATGGTATAAGCGTTATACCAACCTACAGGGCACTAAATGGTATAAGCGTTATACCAACCTACAGGGCACTAAATGGTATAAGCGTTATACCAATCTAAAGACCACTAAATGGTATAAGCGTTATACCAACGTACAGGGGCGTACACAGGATTTTTTTTAAGATGGGGTTTTAAAATCTGAAAATAGCGCCAAAAATTTTGCAACGACTCAAAATATTTTAAATCATTTTTTTATAAAAATTGACATTTTTTTAAAATTCTAAGTTTTTTTTCTTCCCAAAAATAGGATTAAAAAAAAAAAAAAAAAAAAAAAAAAAAAAAAAATTTGATGCATGATATAAAACAAATATACCCCTCAGCAAATTGTACTATCAGAGTCGCCTCTTGCGCATAGTTTTAACCAGAACCTATCAAGACAGTGTACATTTGTATACTACAGAGCACTAAATGGTATAAGCGTTATACCAATCTACAGAGCACTAAATGGTATAAGCGTTATACCAATCTAAAGACCACTAAATGGTATAAGCGTTATACCAATCTAAAGACCACTAAATGATATAAACGTTATACCAATCTACAGAGCACTAAATGGTATAAGTGTTATACCAACCTACAGGGCACTAAATGGTATAAGCGTTATACCAACCTACAGGGCACTAAATGGTATAAGCGTTATACCACTTACAGGGCACTAAATGGTGTAAGCGTTATACCAACCTACAGGGCACTAAATGGTATAAGCATTATACCAACCTACAGCGCACTAAATGGTATAAGCGTTATGTTAACCAACATGCTTTCAGATATCATGTAGAATTCTTGATACAGTAACAAAATTATAAATTCAACCAGTATATATATATCCAGTATATAGTTAAAAAAATCATTGTTTTAAAGCCAAAGTGATATTGATCTACAAAGGACACTATACAGCATAATCAGATTATTATTGAGATTTTAAGCAATTTAGCCTTGTTTTGGCCTGTGATAACACTCATAGATGCTTCAATCATATACTTTTTAACCAAATCCATGACCCCATGATAACACGTTGTATTATCTTTAAAAGCAACCTGTAAACTGACATCACTGATTTTCGCTAATGTTTTTCTTTCTGTAGAAATATACATTCCAAGTATCTTCAAAAAAGCTACATCCCACGTGCAAAACTTTTGGAGATAAATTAATACTCATACAGGAAAAATGTTGTTTTAAATTAACAGTTGACAAGGAATATCCTCTGTCTCTGCTCTAATACATACTAGATAAAAACTTGAGCCAAACAAAATATTTCAGAGCAGTTGCAAGGCGAACAAATTATCACATATGTTACACACATGTACCTCAAATTTAATGTACTAAAGTTCATTCTTTTCTGTAGCAATAATGAAATCAATATCATCATAGTGATTATTTTATAACAAATCTGTTTAAACATGATTATTGAAGAAAAAATGAATTTGAGTTGTATGCTTACAATAGAAAAACTAAAATTCCTTTATTTCTATTATTTGTCTTTACAATCACTATTGTCTTGAAAATCCTTGCAGAATTGTGCGTTAAATGAAACCCCTATGTCAGTACGCATACTATGTGGATTATTGCCATCAAATTTGTGGGGGTCCCAACACTATAGAAGGGCTTTAACTAGACCTAATACCCCTCAAAATAAAGCAGAAACCTACTCAAAATAATCCCAATGTTTCTCCCTCAACCCATTCACTACCTGAAGTGGCAGTTTGTCTCCAGCGGTCAGAGTGAAAGGAAGGAGAATTACACTATCCCTTGGAATGGTCTCAACCCAAACCTGCTTCCGGCCACGCTGTCCTGTGACAGCAACCATCATCTTCTTCCATTTTGTTGTCAATGTCCCTGTAAACCATTCTAGTACAAGGCCATCCTCTGTGACCTTGTCCACACGTCCTATCTGTGGCCAGTGTGTGCTATACGCCTCGATGTAGGTGGCCACCATATCTCCCTCCCGTATTTCTGTCCTCCTCTCCTTCCTCCCTTTGGGTCCAAGATGAACCTGAGCAAACAGACAAGCATAAACCAAGTATCCATACATGTATCTTTAAATAATCGGAAGGTAGTTACAACTTGTAGAAAAAAATCAACTGCGTGCAGTTGAGATAAAGGGTTTCCCGAATATGACACAATTGCCTCAGACTTGTCATGATTAAACATTCCCTGTATATTAATTTTAAAGGGACATGGTAACATTGTTTAGATGAATGAAAAATACTGCTAAGGTAGTGAATTCAATGCTTCCGTACAATCAAAGACAATCTGAGTTTTAGTGAAAACTAATCTGATTTATTGATAAATTCTGCCAACTACATTACTTTAATAAAACTAAAATCAAGGTTAATGCAAATTGTTACAAAGCAATGTATAGACTCTTTATACCATTTTAAACATTTGAGTCATGAACGATTTTGAAAGCAATGTTTTATGTCATATTTACAAGTAAAAACAATTTGAAAATTGACAGGGGGATTTTACATATCCCACTTTCAAAGAAAAGCATATGGTTGTGGTTTGTGGGTTTTTCAGGAATCTTTGCATGTTAGAGGGTTTGTACAGTAGTAGGAATATAACAAGTAACATTTCATATGAAAATTAAGCATTTTTTGTCATCAACCTTCAACAATGCTACCAGTTCCCTTCAACACTAACCTGCATTTAAAGATACCCAATTTAATTGAGATATCTCTTTCGGTTCTATCATATAATTGTTTCATGAACTTTGACCAATGATCTATTTAATTGAGATATCTCTTTCGATTCTATCATATAATTGTTTCATGAACTTTGACCAATGATCTATCTACCCCAAAACTTAATCATATCATCCTGACATAGCCATGCATACCAAGTTTGTTTATGCTCTCCTAATCTGGTCTAAAGTTATTGCATTAACAAAAGGACAACACAAAGACATAACGTCTTCAACAGTGCCATATATAGAGGTTTTTGTTTTCATTTGTATTTACATTGGAGATCTGTAATTTCTTGAACTAAGATTAGTATTGTTCCTAATGCATTCCTTCTTGCATTTTTTAGGGGTTCAGGGGCCCACAAATCAACATTTGAGGTTGTGAAAGTGGAATGTGTTTTAGGTTGCATAAGAAACAATGCAATATATGAAGTTGAGCACTTCTATAGTATAATAGTATTCTATAATTAAAAAAATGAAACTTTAACAGTATTAAGCTAGGTGTTCATGTGATAATATCCTAGTTTATTTCTGCATGATAGAAAAATACCTGTCTGTATGGTTCCTCCTCTATGATGTCAGCATGCACTTCCTGCTGTGGAGCATTCACTGGTTGACTGACCGCTAGCAGCAAGTCGCAAATGGGCCACCTCACTGTTGCATCGTCTTCTGTAGATGAATAAAGAAGAGCATGTATTCAAGAAAATTAATAACATAAGTTTACTGTTCACTATATAGTGCATCAATAAATATCAGATATAAATCCCTAAAAAATTAATCAAATACATTAAGTAGTATACAAAATACACATATAACTAGAAATATCGCAATCTGTGTTGTGGCGCACTGCGAATGTATCCCCCAACAGTGGCAGCGGTTTTTGTGTCATCCTTATGTTCGAAGGAGGGACAAAGATCCTCTCTTCCTTCCCTGAAATCTAAAAATTGCGACAAACATTGTGACAAACATCAGCATGAATCTTTTTACCTTCACATTCCTCTTCCTCTAAGGTTAGGAGCTCACAAAGTGACCTCCAAGCCTCAATGTCCCCTGGCTGGAAATATGGTCGCAGCTTCTCTGCCCCCCTCTCGATTTGTTGAATGTCGATGTCTGTAAAAGACTTCTTCACCAGCCTGGGTTGTCCATCTGGAAGTGACGACAGAATGCGGGTCAGGCCTGTTGTGTCGCACCAATGTGGAGATGTGGACCAGTCTTTGGTTTGGAGTGTGGCTTTCCCGGCTTGATCTAGGGTGAACTTGAATATGTGTGGCTTGCTGTGATAGGCCATACTATGTTGGTGGGGCAGAAGCCAGTCGCGGACATCAAAGATGTGCAGAATTCGCTGGGCAGTTGTCATAGTGTGAGTGTTGAATGAGGCAGGGATGGCTTGTAGTAGTTTGGGAAATGTCGTGATGCTGTGCTTTTTAAGGTGGGTAGAGATTCGAGAAAAGAACTGATCCACATCTTCGTGTGTGTGTCCAACCATTAAGAAGCCAACCTTGATCTGCATTTCAGGAAGATAGATTAGATAGAAAAAAAACATTAAGATTAGATTTTTTTTATTATTGGTAATTATGTATTCAGTTTGTTCATAAAAGTTAAAAACTAGCATAAATGTTTGTTTCTATCCAAGAACAAGGAAAGATTTTAGTGTCGCTCATCGCAAAAAAAAACAACATGTTTACCGTTTTTACAACTGAAATGACTGAATGTTATACGTGAGGTCTTGAAGATGTACATAACTGAATAGCAGATTCCGCATCAGGTATGGAATGCAATTCAATTACTTATACTGTATTGTACTGTAGTATAAACTTGTAAAAAAAGAGTTAAGATATTAACAATGTTTATGGTCAAGTTCTAGAGGAATCTAATTTTAAACTAACAGGTATAAATTTAAAAAAGCAATTTTAAAAAGTTTGTATGTAATCCATTAACAGGTTTCCAGAATATCTTGATTAGGCTAATTTTTTATACACCTGGCTCTGCAAGATAAATACTTGTCCTAAGTTTGATAGTAATCCATCTGTCGGCTCTTATGATAATGCGTTCACAAGCTATTTATAAGCATGCATAATGAACCCCATGACCTTTGACCTCATGACGCTAAAATCAAATCAGTTTATTAGCTCTACAAGATACTTATACATGTCTTGAGTTTGAGTTTCAAGTACCCTATGGCTTTAAAAACAAAAGAGAAGGCAGCTAGCTTTTGGTTTCCTTATAATTTTAATGACATTATCAAAGTATTGCCATTATTGCCAAGATGTTCACCGGGTATAACTTGAAAAAGGAAATTGCAATTGGCCTATGTTTAAAGAATATGTAGTGATTATTTAAAGGGATTTGTTCACCTTTTTGAAGATATTGAGCTCCACTAAGAGAGAGAGAAAGGCAAAGACGTGTCGATTCTTGTTCTCCCTTGCTGTGTTGTCTAATTGGAGATACAAAGTTGGTGGAAGGGAGTCGGCGTAGCGGATGAGAATGCTGAGGATGATGTTGATGGTGAGGTTGCTGTCATGAGGGTATTCTTTGACGTCGATGTAAGTGTGTTGACCTCTGCCATGTACAATAGCGCCAGTGATGTGTGTGTTGAGTTGGTCCGTGTGGCTGAGGGCTTTGGGTGCTGGGTGTAGTTGCGGTATTGCTGTGCAGTGTTGATCCATCCCATCGATGATGATGCTCATATATTTGTCTGGGCTTGCCTTCGCTTTTTGAATGTGCTTGTAGTATTTCTGCCTCTCATTGCTGCTGAAACAATAAATTAGGGACAAGAATACCACTATTGAGAATATATTCAGTATTCAACAGTGAGTAACACATTGTTGAGGATTCACAGTGCAGTCAAACTTGCCAAACAATCTTCCCGAGGAAGCTGGCAAAAGTGGCCTTTATGGACACGTGGTCTTCCTAAAGAGATTCAGTAACATGCAAACTGCTCTACAAATATAAAGTTTTAGTGATTTTTTTTTAAAATGTGAGCTTTAAAACAGGTTTGACTGTACATGTATTCAGAATTAAAGGGAAATAATAACATAATTAGAGATCAGGGCCTGTATTCAAGTCAATAATTAAGTACAAAATTTAAGCGTAATTAGTATTTGGCTTAGATAAATACTTAGCCAATTTTGGTATTCAATTCAAACTTTTGGTTAAGTATGTTACCCTAAAGACAGCTCCCTACCAGACTTAAGCCAATTATTTGGAGGCCTTGATTGGCAGGCATATGTTTTTCTTACACAGTATTATAACATGCACACAGTTATAGCATTTATTGCAACGCATTAATTGCGCATTACTTTTGATTGACCGTGTGATGGCATAATGCTTATCAGTTAGTATTTTACCTAGATTTTGTCTTACATAAGTATAAGTCTAAAATGCGATTTGAATAGGAGATAAGTAAATTACTTAGCTTAGCCATTTACTTAGTAAATTTCTAACTTATGCTAAGTATTGAATTGAATACCGGCTCTGGGTCATTCACTTAATTCCTAGATTTTCTTTCTAGTACACAAAAATCATGAATGCCATAAAAAAAACCATAGATCATAATCAGGAAAGTTGTGACTGCTCATGCACAAAACTATTTTTGTGCAGTTTCAGGTTGAGGTCTTTTCAAGGGGTTTTTCCTTTTTTTAATTTTGTGATTATATTACCTCTGTCAAATCTCTCGCTCCTTTTTGAGATTTTACCGCAGTGGAACCTTGTTATAATAAGGTACATGGTATAACACGCTAATTTTGCTGGTCCCATGTCTTATATAGAAGTCTTGAATCTTGTGGTAATACAATAATATCAAATTTCTCCACCTTGAGTATACATTAGACTCGTTGTAGCAAATTGTTTCAAAGACCAATCAATTGAAAGTATGTTATATACTGTACCTTTGTTTCTCTACATGTTTTTGGTGTTGGGTTATGAGACTTCTCCTTAGCACTTTGTCATTGGTTTGGCCGAGCTTGACTTTTAATTCAGTGCATTCGTCACACTTTGAAAAGCGGTTCACCTGCAGAAAATGAATTTCAATTCACATAAAATATTTGTTGGATGTTGATATATCACTTAACATGCTAGTTTTCTTTAACAAAGGGTTCACTATTAAAAAAGTTCTTTCATCCAAACATTATTTTGAAATACATTATTCAAAAGTTTGATAATCTGTTTTTTTTAAACAGATGGAATACCATCTGATATAGAATATAGAATAGGCTTTATATAGTTCTAAAATAAAAATTGACAAAGAGTCAATAATTAATCCAAAGATTCACTGCACACTATTTGTCTTAGACTTTTAATACACTAGAACCATTTTTGGTATTTAAAAAAAAAAACTTTTTTCAGAACATATTTCTATTTTAAAAACTTGCTAGAATGTTTGGGCTTCAAATTGCTTCATATAGGAAATAGAGATAATTCTTAAAAATCCTGCCTCTGAATTACATAATTTATAATAACATTTCAATCAATAATTTGTGGTCAATAAAATTAAAAAACAATACTTCTGTCTGAACATTCTGATAAGGATTTGTGGGAAGGGGGTTAAATTGTATCCCCATTCATGACCTACTCTCTTAAAGTCCTTCTTAAGTGTTGGGAGCATCTAAACATTTGGTTGAGGGAGTTCACTTAAATTGTATAATGACTTGTACGTGAATGTAATTTAACACTCACTTTTGCAAGTATTTTTAAAACAAAATTGTTTGAAAACGATACACTGATGAAATATTATACAATTGAGGTTTTCTGTGTACAACACAAAACAAAAATTTTGCATTATTTCAAATATAGTCTTCATAAACATTTGTCTTGAAAATCCTTGACTAGTGAGTGTTAAATTACATTCTATTCCACATCATTATGCGATGTAGGTAAAATTAATTTGGTCATCACATTTTGGGGCTCCCAACACTTTAGAGAGGCTTTAAAGCAGTCTGAATAAGGTTAATCTATATTTATTGTGAATAGGAATTTCAAAATACGATACCTTTGGGATCGTTATGTGCTGCTCTTCACTCCTCCAGATTCTTTTGAAGTGTGACTCTGAGCACACCTCTGCATTGTCCTTGACCCTCTCGTACACCTCTCTCTTTGTGAAGGATGACGGGAGATTGAGTCTTTCCTGGTTAGGCATTCTGTCCCCATACCTCTGTGCTATTCGGTCTAATTGGGTCTTTGCGTTGAGAGTTCTCTGAGTCTTGTACCCTCTCCTTTTGAAATTGGCTGGTAGTGGGTAGAGCATTCCATCTTGTATCATGAAATCAGGGAAATCGAAAAGATAAGCATTACAAAAAATTGAGTAAAACCAATACAAAGTCTTATTTATCATGATCTTGACTTTTTTCTTTTAATTTAAAAAAATACTCTACTTTTGCTTTCAAAGAAAAGCTTTCTTTTGGGTATAAGTCAGGAATTTCTAAAGAGATTTTAAAAATTTGAATCAATAAAAAACTTGGCCTCAATTCATATTCTCTTTAATGAGTTCCTTATTTCATTTGTGTGTTTTTTGGTGAGAAACATAATACACAATAAATCCATGTTTTCTCTTTTTAAATAATTTTTCATTATGCCTTTTACAATAAATAGACAAATTCCATCAGTAAATTAACTGACCTTCCCAGAACTCAATTTCCCTTAAAAACTGATACATATTCTGCATTAATGGGACCCACAGTTTCATAATGTATTTTCATGCATACTTGCTTATGACCCACCTCTTTGGATATCGCAAAGATATACCAACTGTTGTTATTAAGCTTTTGAAAGGTATCAAGAGAACCTACAACTTGAAGTCATTTCTGAGGAACTAGGTAATGAAGATCGAGTGCCCACCATGTGCGATAGAACAAGCACAAAATCCACATGTATCATAGATGCTATGCTCATGAAGTTATTGTAATTTCTAGACATAAATAGGCTTGACATGCATTGGAACTAATGCCAAGTTGGCTTCCAATGTGCGAAGAAAACACTGATCGAGAACAAGAGATGGAACTGAAATCAATCTACATGAACATTTGTACGGTAGTAAAATTATGTGTGGACCAAAAAAAGATTTAAAATTTGTATGAAGGAATGAAAGAAAGGAATATAAATACTTTAAAAATCATAGGTTTCCGCAACATCTTGTTTTATGACTTCAAAGAATTACATTGTAAATGATGCTAAATTGTAGGTCAAAATAAGTACCCGGTATGAGGTACCAAAAATTAAAAAGGAAAAAATGCCGTGGGATACTACTTTCGTTTTTTTATCACAATACCTGTAATTATTAACCTCACCTCTGAACCGTTTTTGCCAGTCGTAGAATCTTGATCTCACAATTCCAACCACCTGGTACCAGGCTGTAGCACACACCAGCTCCAGACCAATGTTGAATGAGAACTGAAAGCTCCCATCTTCAGCTTGAGAAGAATGAGTCCTGAAGTACTCCAGAAGCCATATCCGCTGATCACACAAAGATTTCTCCTTGAAGGCTGAGCGGGCTGCAGCTGCATCTGCTCGTGTCACTCTCGCCAGGCAATCGGAAGAGCAGCATCTTCCACTGAAAACGGACAATAACGTCTCTCCACCAGTTTTGACTGTAAAAAAAAGGTGCACAGAAAATTTCCGGCTTATAATAATATGGTTGCAGTATAGAATGAACTCTTGATTTCAAATGTACTTCGCAGTGAGAGCTACATACAACTCGATTTTATATGCAGATATGTAAATACATGTCTAGCATGAACAAAGAAATCCTTGTAACTTTAACATGCCCATGAAGCCCTAATGCTAAATGCTCCCATGAGCTTAACATCAGATGGCCTCAAGACTGTTAATATTTTCAATTTTACTTCTTTCATGTTTGGCATTGAGTGGTGTAAACACCTTTTCACATGTTTTTTTAATTCATATAGAAACAAATAAATTTCGCGGTCAAATAAATAGTGCAGAATTCAGAAAAATTAATGTACCATGAGTGTTTCACTTTACCAGTATTCATCGTTCACCTATATAGAAAGTATAAACAGGGAACTAATGGGGCAAATCTTAAGACAGTAACCATATGACCATGGTGTAAACTACTATTAAGTTCATTGTACTAGTATTACAGATGTTTAAGAAAAAGAACCTTATTGTGTTAATGTGTCATACATACACCAATGTATCAATCTATGACAGTCTCCACTTTGATCAATAATTGCATTGTAATTTAGCAGTGTCAACTTCTGAAAAGTGAAGAATTGATGAGTTTAAAAAAGAAAAGGTAAAGGTCACGACCAAAGAAAGTGAGTTTACAAAGAGCCTCGGAAGTGTCAGCACAGCAGAGATGAAACCTAGTCACCAAGTTATCAAGTAGTATGTAAATGAGTAGAAATATTACTTCCCTAGTTTGCAAGTTTGGAGATCCAGGATGTGTGAGTATTGCATTAGAGGGAGAAAGTAAGAAGTCAGCGAAGGTAAGCTGACCCTGGACCCGAAATTTGTTGCAGTACTATCTTCAGGCAATTAATTGTTTGAAAGTTACAAAATCTGTCCAAAGTCATATTCTTCGCCAGCCTGCTAAGGGTGTATTCATACAATTGTTTTTAAGCAAGCTTAGTTTTGCCACGTAACACATATCTTATTTTAACTATGGCTGTGATTGCACAGAGTAGAATTTAACTTTTTTAAATACATTTTCTGCGAATTTGGGGCTCCAAACACTGTAGACGGGTTTTAATCCTAATATGGGAATGTATAAAAGAGGCAAAATCACAGTTAGAGGAATAGCTCTTCTAGGTGAACATGAAAATCAAATATCCAGGTCCATATTTTGTAAAGCTCTGCAAAACTATTAAATACAATATTCGTTATGAAGTTGCTTACTGCATGGGCATATACTAAACTTGCAGGAAAATTAAGTAAAGAAAGGATCAAACAAAAGGTAACATATTTGTATTGTCTTGTGAAGAAAAAAAAGATCGTTGAAAGTACCTCGTTTTCTCCGCTCTTGCTCAAAAGCACTATTCGCTTCACTTCCTGATGAGTCCAGAAGCAATGTTACCTCTCTTTTCCTTTTACCTGATGTGAAAATGGACACAAATGGAAGTTAGGAAAATAAATTACTAAATAGGGCAATTCTTATTATTCACATTAAACTAGAAAGATACTAGAAATAAATTGTGTGCAATGGAGAAATAAGCGCCAGCACGAAACACTGTTACCCCAGAATCTATTGATGATTCTGTATTATATACCTCACTTTAGAAATCCAGCCATCTGAATAGGACACTGCTAACAAAACGCATTTAGAAAGGTACGCTCAGAAAATAGTCTGTTTTCAGACTTTTGCATCACTTGGTTGTCAATTTAGTGCTGAATAAAGACTAGATCAGGTTTATTTTTTTTAATTTTCAAGAAGTGGATTACTGTTGTGTACAAATAATAATATACCATTCACATTTAACTGATGTTAACTGTTAACAGATCAGTCACTCACTCAATAGTGTCTGTCAGTTTTAAAAGTCTAGCAATTTAACAGTTTTCCTTGTATAATTTAATACTATGTCTCTGAGACCATTGACATTTCGCATACAGGAAACATGTGACATTTCAGAATCTAAGCGAAAACTGCCTTTATAAAAAATCCAGAGACATAAGTATTGTGCTTTATTATCATTGATAATGACACATTGTAGGCCCTACCTGATTTACGGAATGGTTGAGCGTCCTCAAGGTCATCGGCATCACTCTCAAGCTCTGTGATATCATTTCTAGAGGACTGTAAATCTATAAATATTCAATGGGTATAAGCAAAAATATGTATTTGACTTTGCATGATATATCATTTCTATAATAATATTGTACAATCAGAGAAAAGTTCTATTTTGTCAACATCAAGTTTACTCCCAAATATCATATATTTGTTATCAATTGAAAGAAAGATAACAGCTGCATTCAATTTGAGCTGAGCAGGATCTGTCAATCATGAGATATATATAGTCAAGATAAATTTCAAAAAAATTAGATTTTCGCCAGAGTCTGCCAGTGCTTTGTATTAAAAGTACAAGACAAGTTGAATTTTTTCTGAGTTTCTCTTTCCAGAGACATAAGTATTGTGCTATTATCATCAATAATGACACATTGTAGGCCATACCTGATTTACGGAATGGTTGAGCATCCTCAAGGTCATCGGCATCACTCTCAAGTTCTGTGAAATTTGCAGTGGACTGTAAACCTTTAAATGAAAGAAACATAATGCCGCATTAGACTTGAGCTGAGCAGGAATTAACTGTCAATTATGACATATAGTCAGTCAGATCTCAGAAAAATTATTTTTCTGCCTCTGCCAGAGCTTCGTATTACAAGTTTAAGACAATATAAGATTTGTTCTGAGTTTCTCTTCCCAGTGTGAACCTAAAAATATTTTAAATTCAAGAAGTATGTGTGATCGATTTATTCAACTAAATAACTTGAAAAATAAGCATGCTTTCGTAATTTAATATTACTGTTCATCAGAATCTATTTGGAGGTGTAACAAAATGCATTTTGATGGTTTGCAAATGGTAGTAATAGTACATGAGCTGAAATTTCACATGCATGCTTTGCGTATTGATAAAGCACATGCATATATCTATTATAATAAGCAGTTACATGAAGCACTGCAAATACTGATATTACATGTACATCCAATCTTAAAGCCCCTCTAAAGTGTTGGGAGCCCCAAGAATTTGATGCAGCATTTTCAAAAAAAAATGTGTTTGGAGTCGAATATTGATGATAGAATACAAAATATAGGTTTTCTGCGTACAACAGAAAACCTGAATCTTTACAGAAGTGTGTAATAAATGACACCCTGTTTCACATTATCATACAATTCAAGTAAAGTTCTCCCATCAAATTGTTGACGAATTCCGGGCTCCCAACACTTTAAAGGGGCTTTACCTTTAGATACTCTAATCAAAGATATATTAACAATTCAAATTCTTATATCAGACTCTTTCATTTCTCATTTTCAAAATTACTAGAAAGTGTTTTCATATTTCTATAACCGTACTGCTATTTTAAAATAACCAAATTTACTTTTTGCACAATATGTCCAATTCTTCAATGTCATTTAATGTTATTTATGCAACACAATCAAAATGGGGAGGGGGTACTTTGTGCATTCACACTCGTTTGTAGAGCCATTCATGGAATAACACATACCCGAGTTACTGGCAGAGAAAGGCTGGGCATCCTCTTCAGCATCACTATCAAGCTCTGTGACAGTATTTCCAGGGGTCTGTAAACCTGTAAGATTAAATTCAAATTATCAAATACAGTATGCTATGATATACATTTATACATTCATATCTGGTCATATAGCATTTTTATTATTAATTAGCAATATGGATTCTACTTGTAACCATGGTAGAGTGTCCCTTTTGCAGGTAATTTGGTTTTGCAGGTTTTGCAGGTAACAAATCCAGTAGAATTTGGCAGGAATGATTCATGAGACTGTCCCATAACTGTCCCATCTGTGAAATTTATAAGTTGGCAGTGAAGCCAGTGACCTAGTCTCCTTACTTTGTTGACTCAACTTTTAGACACTTTGGAGCTAGTGACTGACTGACTTATGTCTTCTATGTTAATAATAGCTTAAATAAAATGATCTGTGAAGGGTATCATTTGTAGTTTGTACACAACAGTGACCTGCTTTAGAACAAAATTAAACTAATTTTGTCTTTACTCAGCACATAATGTAAGACTATGCAGTACAAGGGTCTGAAACATCAGACTGAATTATTGGCGTACTTTTCTACCCTGTGAAGAATTTAACTTAATTTAACATAAAGCTAATTTTCCAGTGCTAAACTTTTAAGAGGAGTTTTTAGTTAATACATGTATTATTACTTGTTTATCATTGAATTTACAAAACTTTGTATTTTGAGCCTGCAAGAGGGACACATCACCTTTTAAAGGCTCTGGTGGCTGTACTTGCAAGCCAAAGATATGAAATTGTAATAAAATGCCTAAAAATGACATATCCCCATTATATAATTCCTTTCAAAATATATGAACTTCTCAACACAGCTCTGAAACAATGTTTACAAAGTAATATTCTGTAGAGTATTTTCAGCGCCTTCATGATAGATAACATGTTCGTAAAAAAAAAATAAAATCAAATTCCCTTGTATTATTTCTAAAATCTAAAAATAAATATTAAAAAAGAAATGAATAAAGAACTGTAAATAGGGCTGTTACAGCATCAACATACATGTACAGTAGATCAATCAATTAATATTAAAAATGTCAAAATTGGAGTACCGGTAAAGACATTGTAATTATCTGCTTTAAAGAGATCAAGTAACACTCATTTGCACTGCCCCTTCAGTCAAAATTTGATTGAAAGAAAAAGAAGAGAAACATATTTTAGTTTTCATTGCTACACGTTTTGTCTGTTTACGGTAGTTCAAATTTAGAAGAGATCGAGGAATATTTGAAAATAAGGGCTATTTCCTTCAATAAAACTAATATGAAAAAAATATTTGTCTCTGAAAGTATATACATGTACATGTAAATCTTCATTTGTTTACAAGGGGTGAGGGGCTATATTATACGACACAACTTTTTCAGTATAAAGAAAATAAATGAAATCTATTTTTTTTCCCTTCAAACATCGATTCGTTTCCTCTAAAAAAATGTACAAGGTTACTCTAATGCCAAACAAGTAAATACCCTTGAAATGTCATCGATATTGGGTAGAATTTATATGTGAACCAGTAACACTGTTCATAATTGAAAAAATTGTTCGCTATATTAAAGTATTCATGCATGTACATTATTTGATGTCAGTGTGTGCGCTACAGTTAATCCTGAATCATCTCTAGATCAACATTTCCAGCTCCAAATACCACTAACCAGATCTCCCTTCCTTACTTTGGTACTGGGCTAGAGGCATTCATAGTTGAATTATAGCAATTTTTTTCAGGAATGAGTTAAAATATGGCTACAAGTGTAATTATACAGATGTAGTTCCTTGTTTCTTTTTTTCCAGTCCAAATACAATGTTACCATTTCACTTTAAATTTCATACTTTATCCTTAAAATGAATTGATCTGATAATTAAAGCAAAAAGAACTGACTGAGCAACCACAATTTGTAAAACAGGTAGACAGTAAAGTGCTCTAGAGGAATCATAATGTGTGTCTTTACTGTACCTGTGGTCCATGTACTTGGAAGATTATCCTCAGCATCACTCTCAAGCTCTGTGAAACTGATATCATTCACAGTAGCCATGCCTCATGAGAAACCCTGAATATAAAACAACAATAAAACTGTCATACTATTTTTTTTCTTCACATGCAATTCAAATGTAACAAAAAAATTGTCAAACATGTTCCAATCAAAGCTGAACCTGACAAATGATGCAACTCTAGCAAAAAAGAGAAATCATGAAGTGCATTGATCATTTTTACAAGTTACCAATGTTTTGTACAATTTATAGCAACAAAATGTAACATACTGTATAGTATTTTTTTACTTCACCTAACTTTACCCTATTGAATGATGTTTTCTTTTCTACCCCTCATTGGAAGCTACATCATACATGCAGGAATACTTACTTTTTTGAATTTTTTTTGAAAAAGTCTGTAAAACTATAGAACAATGGAAATGACTACGCAAATTGCCAATTCGGTTATCAGTTTGTGACGTCATGTCCTCACTATTTATCAATTGCTTTGTATAGTTTAATCCCATTAATTTCTCTTTTTATCCCCCAAAACTTGATTTCCCCATGCCTTTACCCAGGTTATATGATCAATATCATATTGCGTGCATGACATTGCACAAAATCTTTTATCAACTTTGAAGAATTTATACTATTTTCTGAATATTGTATATTCATAATTATCGATTTCTATCTAAATAGTTTATCAAAAGCGACATTTTTCATGATTTAACTGAAAAAAATTTCTCTATAATTAGTGCATCCACACAAAAACATATTATTGTCAATCTAACTTGGATGCTGGTGTGAATAAATAAGATTCTTAAGGGAAAAAATAGGAAATTTATAGTATCAATATAAAGAAAACATTTAGTGGATAGTGCGGACATAACGTCACAGACTAATAAGTGAATTTCCAATTTGTCTTGTGATTTTCATTATTCCATAGTTTTACAGACTTTTAAAAAAATTCATAACTTTCTTATTAGATATCCGATTTTGCTCAAACTTTTTTTTGATTGGTTTGTCTGATGTTTTTTGCCTTTATCAAAAGCAAGTTATTTTTGGAGTGGACTTGGCCTTAAATAGTATGGTAGACTGTATTCATATTATCCATAGGTCTAGTATAGACTTTAACAGTTACAGTGTACATGAGAATCATATGCCCATGTTATGTTAACTAGTGGTACGTGCACTGCTTTTTATTTATTGGTTATGTTATCTACTTGAACTCTAACTTCTCTAAGTTAATACACAAAATATAGGCCATATTTGTGTATTTTGCTTGTTTCTGGGGAATTTGTAAATTAAGTCATAAACTAAGTAAGGAATCGACCTGGTTTAATTCTGATTCTTATCTTAAGTTAAGGCAATTAATTCGTCTACAACAACCTCAGAGTCAGAGACAATATAGATTAGGAATAGGAGCGTTTTCCTTGGCTTTTCTTTTGCAACAATAATTCAATAGGCCTATATAGTACTGATCATTATTGCAGTTGGAAAAGTGACATAATCTTGAGGCGTTGAGCCTTCAGCTCAGGTTAAAGAAGAAAAAAATAGGCTAAAATTGGATCTACATGTAGGTTTATACCGTGTGAGTCAAAAAAAAGTTTATACACCTAGAAAATTGCTAATTGTTTAAAAAATCATCTATGAACAGCAGGCCCTAAATAGTTACCATATACATCTTATGAATAGTCAATATTTGCACTCTCGCAAACATGCAATGCCTCCTGTCATCCAAGCGTGAACACATACCACACACAAATGAAACTAAATGATTTGGGATAAAACAATCTTTCATAAGATGTAGGCTAGTATAATAATTTACCGTTCATAGATGATATTTAAATGATTAGCAAATTTCTAGGTGTTAACTTTTTTTGACTTACACTGTAGTCTTCAGTTTAGACTTAAAGGTACTACATGTATGTCCCATTTGCAGGCAAAAATAATGAAAAGGCATTTGAAAGATAATTCTAATTTAGAACTTCCCTTAAAAAAGAGGGGGCTTGAAAATGTCTTCAAGTGGAAAAATAACGACTATTAGTTGTCGAGGAAGAAGACACTTTAAAAAAAAAAAATTTTAAGGTCCCCCCAAAAATCGCAATGACTCAGCCAGCCACTGAATAAGCAGGGGGGGGGGGGTAATGCCATGTAACAAAACATACATCACATGTTTAGCGTCCCCGCCCGCTTCCTTTTTGGGGGCCGCCTCCTATTTTTTTTTTCTTAAAGAAAAAAAACATGAAAAACACTGCTAAAATAGGAGGCCGCCATCTTGAAAAATAGCCCAAATGTCAGGGAAAAAGTACCGAGCGGCAATTTTGAATGAAAAAAAGAAATTAAAAAAAGGGGCTCCTCCTTCCTATTTTTCAACAAAAAAAAGGACGCTAAACATGTTTTTTTTTTTATTTGGCCTAAGAGGACATTTTTTTTTTTTCTGGAAATTTGAAAATTTAACATTTTGCTCCCTTGGGGGGGTTTGAGGTCAGCCAATTATTGGCATAATTTTGTTTTTGTTTTGTTTTATTAAAAAAAAAAATTAAAAAATAATCTCAAAGGGGAGGGGGGGGGGGTTCGCTCCAAAATACACAGAACTCCACCCCCCCCCCCTCCCCGTGCCTGAATCAGCCCATCAAAAGGCTATCCAAATGGTCTCCGATAAGGCAATTAAAAAAAATATAGATCTAGATCTAAGTTAGATCTAGTCTAGCTGTCTACATGTTTAGAGATTTTTTATTTTTTTAAATTTTTTTTTAAAGAAAAAAAAAAACATGGAAAACACTGCTAAAATGGATCTATTTCTGATTTTAAAAAAATGAATTTAAAAAAAATGTCAGCGGCCATCTTGAAAAAAAGCCGGACTGTCAGGGAAATAAATGTACCGGGCGGCCATTTTGAGCGGCCATTTTGAAAAAAAAAAAAAAAAAAAAAGGGCCTCCTCCTTCCTATTTTTCAAAAAACAGGACGCTAAATATGTTTTTTTTTTTTTTAATTTGGCCTAGATCTAGACCTAGACCTAGGTCTACGTCTAATAGAACTAACGTTAGTGGCAAACAGCCCCATAAATGCACCCTACTTCTTCGTACTCTCCAGTTTACATGTCTTCTTCTGCACAATGTCTGGCTTCTTTTACTTGCACGCATCACGCACTCACACACTGCCACTGTTACTCCACCCTGGACAGCTGTCAACGTAGCTTTTTGGGTGCAACAAATTCAAGATTCAAGATTCAGGGATACCATGGCAGAAATCTTCATGGCGAAAGCGCACACATTGTAACGTACCTAGACCTATATTTAATAAGCACCCTCTCCAAACCAGTCCTGGACCATTTTTCAGGCCTAGATCTATAGCTAGGTCGAGATCTATAACAAATTTAGACAGAAAATAAAGATTGTCTACGTACCTGGCCTAGAATCTCTAGATCTAGGTAGAGTCTATACATAGAATCTGCACCACTCTGATCTAGCTAGTAGGATTGACTGAAGCTGAAGATGGTTGAAAGTGAAACAGCCGAGTTGCCTGCTGAGCCGAGCACATGTGGAAGACTCCTCTCTAGATTAATACTAGAATTTTGTAGCAATGTAGACCCTAGATCTATCTCAATTTTTTAGCTAGATCGAATTACGAAGAGACCAACAGTAGCAAGTAACACCTCCGAAATAACAACAAAGTCAACAGTAGGCTCTAACAACTTTTTTCGAACTGTCAAAGTGTCATGCTGTAGCAAACAACAACACCAAGCTAGCGGCTTTTGTTTTCAAAACATGCGCTGTATTGTGTACACGCTTGAGCGATTACAATCTATTCAACTTCAAGATCTACCTGACTCGACTTTACACGACTTTACGACTTTGGATGTTCATCTTGATTGATTCATTGTTCTCAATCTCAACTCACGACCGAAAGCACGATCGAGTCATTGTTGGTGTTGTTGTTTTAGGTCATAGGCGTTTGTCATTCAGAAGTGAATCGTTCTTTCGTTCGTGTCTCCTTAGATCAAGATAGTTATGTAAAGTTCCTTAATTAGAAGTAAATTAAATTAAAATTAAGTGATGTAGACAAATGCTCATGTACCCTTTATACAGCTTGTTTTATGTATAGTTATATTACCAAAGAAGAAAAAAAAACCCCGTGTGTCTGACTGAAGTCTAGCAAGTAAACGGGTTTCCTTGCATAATTTGAATATTAGGACACTGCTAATGTTAAAAATTCACAGATAGTACATAGGTCTACATGACATATTCATAATTCCTGCAAAGTTCTACAGAATTTGAAGTTGGCTGCAAAAGGGACATACAAAGTTTTGAGAAATTTTGAAAATTGGGTGGATATAGTGATTCTTTACAATTTTGATATATTTGGATGCCCCTGTGGATGTATTATATAAGCACTATAAAATTTAGCCCCTAAAACTTTTCTGTTTTCGAGAAAAATTGAATATAAAATTTTACCGGTGCTCCCGGCCGGTAAATTTTGATAAATTTCAAATAGTGCCTACGGCCGTACAATGGTAGCTGCAACCATGAAAATCTCAGAATATGTAGTTGTGATATATAATTTCCAAACCGGAATAGCTAATCGGTCGATTTTAGTCAAGAAACATTGTTTTATAGCTTAATTAATAATTGACCTTGAGAGGGAGCTATACAACATTTCATAACTTTAGACTCGATTTCAATCGCGACAACGATCACTGAATATTGTAGGATCACATATGCTTCCAATATGTTCATTTGAACCAAATTCATGACCCGGCATACCAAAACTTTGTAGGCCTAATACCTTTAAAGGTAAAGACCAGTAATGGTCATGCGATTGCATTGTGAAAGAAACGTTGTGGAATCGATCAGAAAAGGTTGATCATCTAGCATCTAGCATCTGCAAGGTTCTGGAATCATCAATATGATAAGAAATTTGGCCCATTCTTCGTAAAGTTACAAGCACTATACACAGAAAGATGTATATGGGACTACCCTATCTCTCTCACCAGACCATGAGAGAAATAAATTTACCAAATATATGAATTAGTAGGCGGTTTCCCGGCAAATTTTTTATCATCATGTATTAGTCAAAACATATTCTTTCACATGATTGGTAATGAGAGCTTCCATTT